ACTGTGGCTCCCCCAGCAGTGAGTAATATCAAACTTCGCCCTAAAATCCATCCCTAATTCACATCGACACCAACATTTATGCATCTCGAATTCCCGAGCAACAATAATGCACTGGATAAAAAGGAAGAGAGTTCTTACTCTCTTGAGGAAGCTAACTCTGTCATGCAGAGTATCCACCGCCGCATCGTTGTCGTGCTCCTTGATCTCCGAAGAAAACGAAACGGAAGCCCTCAACCCGCCTTCCTCGAGTCCATCATCGAAGAGAGCTGATCTCGAAGAACGAATCTCCCTGCTGCGGCTCTGAAAACTGAAACCAGGTAGGTAATCCTCATAAACAGCACTCACCGCAGGTCAAATCACCAGGAAGAAAATTATCAATCGAAAATCAGATCTGGAGAAACACCAGTCGCAAATGCCGTGGGAAATTCTGCACGCTACGCTATCTCAATTGATTCGAAAATTAACGAACCTCCGGTAACTCATGATCGTCCGACTGCGGATCGGACGCCGTCGCCGCCGCGTTCCGCCACTGGGACTGGGAGTGAGAAAGCGTGGGAAAGAGAGTGAAATCAAATGTTAGTTTGATTTGGCACCACCGAGACGGAGGATTCGGCTTTGCTTTGTTTTGGGTAGTTTCTTTTCCCTCTTCTTAGCTCTTTCATTCTCTCCATTTTCTCCGGGATTGATTAGGAAGCGCGCGAGAAAATGATACTGGGCTGGGACTGGCAATGTTATGGACCTACGGTAGCTGGGCCTGCAAAATAATGGGACTGTGGAATTATCCATCTTCCACAAGCCAATATAGACAATGGGAATTATGTTTTGTCCTGCTTTTAGAAGTGATTTTCGGATTCAAAAGTTGAAGCAGCGCCAAACACCTCTAAAAATTCGGTTTTTGAAAAGCCGAAAAGCGCTTTTGTATAACATAAAAGCAGAAGCTCCAATTTGGAGCTTCTGCGAAAAGCTGTTTTGAAAATACAAGATTATTCTTACCATATTTTAATTTTATTTCAGAAAATATAATTTTATTTCATTTATATCATTTTAAAAATATAATAAATTTTAAAATCATATTATTTAATATAAAAGAAGTCTAACAAGATTTATTTTGACTACATTTTATTGTTTAGAATTATTATTCATAGTTTATATTATAAGTCCTTTATAGTCATTTTACATAACCTCTCATATTAAAAATCAATTTTAATAGTTTTTCAGCCAAACACTCAACTCCTTTTTTTTTAGTACTTCTCTAAAAGCTCAAATCAAAAGTTGCTTATGTAAAAGCTACAGCAGGGCCAAACTGAGCCATTATTGTCACCGGTCGACCTATTCATTGATGTAATCCATCAAAAGATTTCGTTGTATTTCAGGTAACTTAATCGAGGTTCACTAATACAGAAAATCTGCTACGAGATTTACATTCTACGCAAGCGAAGCACCTGAAGTATTAAACATAGGGCTAATTTAGCCCTGATGTAGATTTTGCAGAAGTAGCTTCTGGCTGGAGATTTTATAGAAGTACTTTTCAAAAAAAGGAGTTGATTGTTTGATTGAAAAACTATTAGAAGTGCTTTTTAATATGAGAGGTTGTGTAAAATGACTATAAAGGACTTATAATATAAACTATGATTAAAAAATTTAAACAATAAAAAGTAGTCAAAATGAATTTTGTTAGATTTCTTTTATATTAAATAAAATTTTTAAAATTTCTTTTATATTAAATAATATGATTTTATAATTTATTTTATTTTTAAAATGATATTAATGAAATAAAATAAAATTTTCTGAAATAAAATTAAAATATGGTAAGGATAATCTTGTATTTTTAAAACGAATTTTCGCAAAAACTCCAAATCGGAGCTTCTGCTTTTATGTTATACAAAAACGCTTTTCGACTTTTCAAAAGTCGAGTTTTCAAAGGTGTTTGACCGGCTTCACCTTTTGAAACCAAAAAGCACTTCTAAAAACCGGGCTAAACATAGGCTTAATATGGTAATGGTTGGAGCAACAAACTTGGATTCAACAAGAATCTCATCTTTACAGTAGTGCAAAAGGGGAATTGGTCAAAAAATTGGATAGGTGTCAAGACGTAGTTGGCCACCACCGATGGACTCAAGTGCCCCTGAACCACGCAAAATGGTCAGCTATTACATGGCTCACTAACTTTGCATGGGGTGGGGTAGCTATTATTTGTAGGCGGTTCGAGAATGAAAGTTAGTTCAAACTGTCATTCTGACTATACTCATGAATGATAGTTTGAGTTTCACATAGGTAGGGCATACGAACATTGGTCTCATCTTCGACATTTTGATATTTTATTTATAAAATTGTTAAGCGGCTCATTGTGGTCGTTTTCCTGTGACTTATTGTAATAGGAACTCGATCTCTAGGGAAACCGGGTCTCCTATTATTATTAAGATATTTATTGATCAGTTTAGTAGTCAATTAGTATTAGGTTTTCTCGTCTTTACCATGGGCATTCATTCAGAAGGAATCAAGAAACATATTAGAAAAGTATCCCTCACAAATCTCAATCTCTCATATCTTTCCTTATCGATGGCCGTCGACCATTCTATCTCTCTTCTTCCCCAAATTCATCTTCCAATCTCAATTATCCCTCTAAATCCCTCAATCGCCAATTCTGATTCTCTAATCCCTGATTCCCAAATACCAAACCTGACCTAAACACATCATAGTTCACCGGAGTTCTATCATATTGCTACCAATTTGAGTCATCAGTTGTTTGACCATGTCTATTGACAAAAGCAGTTTCTTTATGATATTTTCATGCTTCCATGTTAATGAGAGAGTGATGCTAATCGTCTAAAGTTAGTTTTTGATTTTTTTTACTTAGCTCCACAATTTGCTCATACATTTCTTGTTCAGCTCCAAAATAAATTGAAATCAGAAGGTTGCTTCCAAGAACTAACACCACATGGCTCCTTGAATCAAGGATGACACATATACATCAAGAAAAACTTAGATGGTCTCCGACAGAAAGAGGAACTATATTCATGGCAGAGAGAAAGAAGACTAGTCCTTTCCCTTGACAATCCTCCCTTCCTTGACTTCATTAGACCACGTAACTAATTAGCACATCAGTCCCTTTGACTTCAGCCCATAATAAGAAATAAAAAAAACAAGCAGCAGCAAAACACCAGGAAAATTGAAGGATAGGGATGACAAAAATATTCGTAATTGTGGATATCCGCTCGAATCCGGCCTAATCGGGTAGGGTAAAATTCGAACCCGAATGACTTTTAGTGTGTACGGGTAAAACTCGAACCCGAATATTGCGTGTAATAGGTGGGCATGGTTTTCTCTCTATCCAACCCGAACCCGGCCGATTATACACATGCATATGTATTTTGTCTATAAATAATTATTATTTTCTCTAACATATTTTATATTTAGCATATAAATATAATATTTTACATGAAATTGTGTTGTTTTAATTAATTTTCTTCATTCTAGAGAATTATTGTCGTAATTTTCTTCTTATGTAGTGTGAGAATACATTTGAATGTTAACATATTGGTTGTAGTTATAAAGAGAAATTATTACCCATGGATAACTGTGGATACCCGAAACCCGAACGGGTATGTACATGATTTTCATTTTCTACCCGTTTCTTATTTGCGTATGGGTATGTGTAAAATCCGAACTACTTTGAGTAGGATAACGGATATGCACTATCCGTCTCCGGCCCGACCCATTGTCATCCCTAATTCCCAATCCCCATCATTGTTTAATGCTTCTTCTTGCTGGTCCAATACTTGCTTTGGAAATGGCATTGCAAATAAATGAGCCGCAACCACACAGATACGGCAGCAGTAAGTCAGTGGTGCTCTGGTCTTGTGTGTGTCCTCCTGAATTTCTAGGAGGATTTACTATACAGTAATGGCGCCCCCTCGCTTGCACTAAATGCTCTTCCGTACGTCTACCCTGGCCAGGCCACCATTGCCTCCTTCAATGCCCTCCACATGCCCAACCAACCGCCTCTTCCGTCGTCTACCATGGCGATTAGGGGTGGCTATACGGTTCGGTCCGGTTAAATTGGACCAAATTGATCTGGTCCCAGTCCGGTCTTTTCGGGAATATAAGGACCAAAGATTGGATTGGATACACTCCGGTCTTGACCCGGTCCATCAATTTGATTTTGATTTTAGATTGAGCTTGTGGGTATTTGAGTGTTGGGTCTCTTATCCGGTCTTTATCCGGGTTTTTTTACCTCAAATCTAAACCCGAATATGAGATTGGATTGTTTGTTATCCGGTCCCAGTCCGGTCCCAGTCCGAGTTATACGATCCGATTTCGGATAAAACAAAACAGTCATGGACCAAATTGCCAGCCCTAATAGCGATACGATCTAATATGTCGGACTCTGAGATAACTTGCTCGTAAGCTACCGCTATGTTACTCGATGCTCTACCATCTACCCTGACGATAGGATCTAATACCTCCAGACTTTGAGATAACTTGCTCATAAGCTACTGCTGTGACAATAATTAATAACACTGATATTATCCTATCAAGCCTCCCACTATTCTAATTCTACAGCATCAATTTCAGGCAAAAGCAGGAAGTAGGTTGCTATAAAAGACAAAATGTTGGGAGAGGAAGTTGCTAGAGGACAATGACCTCCTCTCCTCTCCTGTCCTCTCTTCTCTTCTATGGCGTTGTATTTTGTGTCCCTCCCTATATTTAATTCATTGTATCCCCGGTAGCAGCAGTACCAGTGTGAAAGGTGACGTCTTCTTCTATAATGGAAAAAAACTTAAACTAACACACAAACCAACAGAGGTCATCAGCTGGTTTTTTTAATAATGAATCATTTTCACACAATTAAGCAATCTATTGCAGAGGTCGATGTCAGTCAGAGCTGCAGCATTCATTGATTCATTTATGGAGCTTCAAGTCAGCATTTCATCAAATGACATATACAGGGACTCTGAATCCATCACAACGTAATCTTCCCCCTAGCAGATTCCAAATGAATCAAGTGTAATGTTTGATTACCTACTGTAAGAGGATTGTTTGATTCACTGATGGCATTCAGAAGGCAAACTGAGTACAGGCACATGCAAGTTCAACAGAGAATGGACAGGCACCAAGATTCCTTTTGTACAATATAATATGTCAATGCACTAATTCCTTCCTTCCAAAATTCTACAGAAAGCACTAAGCTGCCACATTGCAGTGCTGTGCAACAGACAATATGTTCTAACCAACAAGAATATACAACAATTAGAGAAGAGATCCCCTTTGATAAATGATGACAGTTCTTTTCTTCCTATGTACTTACTTCCCTTACCAAACCCAGAACACATACCTTCTGGACTAAGCAACAAATATTAATCAACTGGGATCTTTTCTCCAGAATCAAATTAACCAACGTGAATCAGTATAACAAACCTCAAGATCTTCATCCTGATTTGTTTCTTTCCCTTGTCTATCTTTCAAATGATCAGTTGAAATAAGCAGCTCGACATTGCATCTGCCACTCCATACAGTCTTCAAAGTCGAAGCTACTAGCACAATCCAACAACGCATTCTGCTGATGCTCGTACCGACATATATAATTCAACCCAACAAGGAGTTCGCATATGGCTGCCTCCGTCTTTGCTCTATCAGCAAAATACAACGTCTGCAGCAGCAGCACGTTGCTCTTCGCCACAATCTGTTGCTGCTCGAAGTTCCTCTCGCTCTGCCACCTCATCATGTTGTGTGCCAGTGGAGCAAGCCACTTCAGCATCCCATCAATGCTCTCCTTCCAATCGTGGGCCAGTGGGGCGTCGTAGATCGCCAAGTTCTTCACATACGACTTCAACTTCTTCCTCAGGGAAAGTCTCAAGCTTGTGGGCAGCATCTGGTACAGATCATCCCTCGCTTCTTCGCCAACCAAATGAGGGTACCGAAGCAGCTTCTCTATCACGATTATGACGTTGGCATAATGCAATGCCAAAGCAGACCCTCCAAGTGTGCTTTGAGGGGCATAGATGGTCGATCTGCTCCTCGGCCCACCAAATGGGCTGGTTTCCGCTTGTCTTTCATCACCACAACTCAAATGGCTAAGAGCTCGTTTCAAATTAGAATTCATCATGCTTTTGCAGCTCGAGATTTGGCTGCTTCGATCATCGTCGTCGTCATCATCATCATCGTAATCCACCTTTGATACCGAGCTAGACAAGCTAAGGCACTCCATGAACATCCTTCCAGGGCTCGTCCCACAAGGAAACATGACATCACCAACTTCAAGCACAGAAGAAACTCCATGCTTCCTGGAATCAACCCGGGGAGGCTTAACCTTGCTGTTCACCTCCTTCTTCTGCTGCACAAAGGGCCTCTTTAATTGCCCTGAAACTTCCCAGCACTCATCCTTAGTATTAGAAGGAGAGAGTGAAGAGATAGAGCAACTGCTATCCTCCTTGTGCAACACGGATTCACCAAACACAGCACAAATCCTAGCATAAATAGTACACACAGTTCTAACAAGCAATTCCACAATTTTATCATAGCTCTGGTTCCAAATTGAAACGTCCTTGAGATGCACAACATCCTGCTTTTGCCAAATCACTTTCTGCTCAAATGCCTTCCTGCTCTCCTCGTGCTGGTTCGTCTGAAATTTCTTAGTAGCTTGTTCTAATTCGGTCAGAACCTCCATTTCATTGTACAAATTAGCAGTGGCGTGGACATACCTCTCCAGCTTCCTAACCATGGCATCCATGTCCTTGACCAAAAACCCCAATTCCTTGACATCAATCGCTCCGCTGATTAAATCCCCATAGACGTGCTCAAACCCTTGCAAAGCCGGCTCGACGCACTTCTTGCCGAGGCGGGAGACGATGGCGGCGACCCTGTTGAGGTCGTCGAGCTTCTCCGCCAGAGCGAGCTCGAGGAGGCGGGAATCGTCGTGGAAGACCAGGTTCCTGACCCCCTGGGAGCCCAAGATCTCGGATTTGAGCTTGGAGATCTCGGGGTCGGTGAGGGACCTGTGGAGGTGGACGGTTTTGGAGATGACATTGGCGACCTCGAAGGAGAGGATTCCAATGGTTTCCTTCGTGGGTCCCGCAACTGCCGCCGCCCTCTTGGTGGGTTTCTTCCTGCTGCTGGGTTCGAGAAGGAATGCGTGCTTCAAATTGCTGCTCACCTGGTTCCCCATCTTCAGTATCCAAGTCTCCGCCACCATTTTTTTTGTTGCTCCCGCTCGTAGATCTGGGGAAGAAATGGAACCCAGAGACCCCTCTGTGAGAAGAAATAGAGTTGGGTGGAGTGGAGGGAAAATCAATTTGCTGGGAGGAAAGACTACAAGAACTGGATTGGGATAATGAGTGGAGCGTGGGGGAGCATAATGAAGAGGAAGCAATCGAAGGTGCAGCAATGGAGGAGGTAAAGATGGGAACTTTTTTCCTTACGGAGGAGTAAGGAAGCCACAGAGTATAATGAGCTCTTACTCTGGTTTAGGGGGAGATTTTGGTTCTTATTTTGTAGTAAGCTAATTAGCTTTGATTTGATGAACGATGATGATAGCAGATAGATTGATAGTGGAACAGGTGGGTGTATTTGGCGAGGATTCGGAGATTGAGTTTCAAATTAATATTTGTTTCTTTTGAAAATATTAATTAATTTTTTTTCTTTCTTTCTCTATGCCTGCCACCATTTAATTGGGGCACTCTTGTTTTCTACTGTTACCCATATTTTTCCTTTGTTTTCTTGTGAGATAGATAAGCCAAAGGCAGCTTTGATAGGCTGGAAATCCGTACTGTATTGGGATATCGAAATTCGAATATTGAATTACACAATAAAATTAATTTTAATTTCAATTTCTAAATTAATTTGGTATTTTGGTATTTCAATTGGTATTTGTAATTAATAATTAAAGTATGTAATTAATTAAGGGCAAAGAGACTAGCTAGACAAAGGGTATTGAGTATGAGCGTATGAGAGACAACTAATGAGAGTGTATGCGTTTTGGTGTCATGAAAATAAGAGATTGAGTGAGAGACGAGTGACTTAAATTGGAAGTCAAAATTGGATTTGATGGAGTTTCTGAGTTGTCAAAGAGGGAGGAATAATCAACGGTTGTGTGCTATATTTCATTAATTTTTAATTTTCAGTTTTTATTGATATTTCGGAATAATAACGATCTCGATCCCGAATACCGAATAACACTTGAAAATGAATCACAATTTCAATCCCTAAAAAATAAATAACTATAGTGATAATTTGGCACTATATTTGGTACATCACAAATACCGGTACTAGACTTTCAGTTCTAAGCTTTGAGTTAGGAATATTTAAAAAAACAATTTATTAGTTAACTTGTTATTATAATTCACCAAAAATTATTACTATTATGGGAGAATGTGACTATCGAGCTAATCCACCGGTTGGTTATTTATTTATTAGTTAAACTAAATTAATAATGACAAGTGTGGTTTTCTTTTATCATGACTGCCAAAATTAGGGAGATAATTATCCCTGAGAAAAAGCTCAAGGAGATGGCAAATGCGTGTTGCAGCCACTATATAAATGAAAGGGAAAAGAAAGAAGGCCAGCTTTTTTATATACAAAAACAAAAACTTCTGGGCTTGTGGGTTTCAATATTGCTGTGAAATTGGGTCTGAAGTTGAGACTCTGAACTCTGAACTCTGAAGGAGATTTTCGCCAATTGTTTATTTTTTAATTTAGCATCAGAATGGGCAAAAATTATACTAAAAATACAACAATATATACTAGAGGCACTAGAATAAATATCAGAAATCTTATAAAGCACAACACAAACACAAAAATGAATACTTACAAAGTGCCAGTATCAAAGGACATGATTTTTTTTGTTTGCTAAAAATTATGAAAGTGAATCTTTTATTGTATATCATATTTAATTTAATTTTTTCACACAAATATATTTGACATTCGATTTAAAGTGAAAGAGATATGTTCATAAAAAATTAAGAGATAAATTATCCTAATTGGAAGGCTCCTATTTATATTAACACCATAACACCATTTTATATCCCTGAATTTTGGACTAGGCAGTATGAGTGGTTTGACAAATGACATAAATGGGTTTGACCATCGACGTCTTTCCATTAGACCTGCTTTTCAGCTTATGATCGATCAAGTCAACCTTGGAGGAGACAAACAAAACCGCCAACCCCACACTACAGAAATCCTTTTTGTCTCACCGGCTCCATCGATCAACTTCCAGTTCCTACCCGTTTACATTTTCTACACAAGAAAAAAAAAAAACCCAAAAAATTAACACTATGTTTGGCAACAAGGGGTGCAAGTTCGAGAGGTATAAATTGAGGGGTAAATTGTTGGGGGTGCAACTTGGTGGAGGGTGTAAGTGGAGGGGGTAAATTGTTGTTTGGATGAAAAAGTAGGAGGGTGCAAATAGAGTAAAAAGTAAGTAATTATATTATTATAAAATAGATTTATCAATTTATAAAATATTATCACAAAATAATAACATGAAAATTCAATATATAATAATAAAAATAATAAATAAAAATAATTTTAATAAAATAATTATTATATAATAATGCTCAAATATAATTATTTATAACAACAATAATAATCATTGGTCGAGCAACCTCGAAACTCGAAATCCAACTCGTAACTGGTCATCCTAAGGGGGTTCTCGTGCCTAACTTTAAATTGAATATGGTCAAACTTAGTCAAACACGTTCGAATCTGTAAGTTTTAACTACTTATTAAAGTAAATCGAGTTAACTAAACTGTTCCTCTCTATCTTTTCAACAAATGCTTCTTATCTCTAATTTTCAATACAAATTCGGGTCAACTAAGAGATATCGATTTGACGAGGCGAACATTGACAAACTTGCTCTCTGAGTCAAACGGTCAACCCCAAACAACTTCTACACTAATATAGATATAAGAAAAAATTAATAATATTAATTATTATGTAATTATAATCAAATTAAAAATTCATAATTCCCCTCCTCCCCCTTCCCCCTCCCTTTCTTCCTTCCCTTGCACCCCAATTTGGGGGGTAAGCCGAAACAGTGAATTTACGCTCACGTTTTGCACCCCCCTACTGTTACAAAATAACCAAACGGGGGTAAACACCTTGGAACTTGTGTTTACCCCTCCAAACTTGCACCCCCTTCTATTTACACCCCTTCCCAAACATAGTGTAAAGGTACATAAAAGCAAAAACATCTCATAAAAATTGCCCTAGATAGGTAATGCAAACAAATTCGACCCTTTGGGTAGAAAGATTTCGTTTTCGAGCATTTGGTCACATGTGTGGATCAAATTTAATTTAAAACCAAACCAAATTCGAAGAATAGAATGAACCAAATATGAAGGAAACAGGAGGATCAGAGCCGGATAAAAATCAAACATTGTCCTGTTCTGTGTAATTTTGGTTTGACTCGCTTTCTTTTCTTTGTTTTCAAGAGAGTTCATTGCACAGAATTGGAATGGATGGTACTTAATTTATTATATCCAATCCATTTATAGACTCGGTTTCATGCGCCAACGAAAACGTGATTGGGAATGGCGATGGGCAAATCGGGATGAGTATTTGGATATGTTATAAACGCGCGGCTACGGATCGGGAAATCGCAGGAATCGACCAAGCAAGAATACGAAAGCGAGAATCGAAAAACACAGACACACGATTTACGTGGTTCACTAACACGATGTGTGTTAGCTACGTCCACGGGCGAGAGAGAGCCAGTTTCACTATATCGAGGAGATTACAGATTTACAGAGGAGTATGAGAAGTATATATAGTACTTCTCCATGTGGGTCTAAACCTAATCCAATCTGGCAAAGGAAACGGTTATAGACCAGGCCCAGAACCCGAACCCAAATAACATTGAGCCCATTACCAGTCGTAGCGGTTGATAGTCCGATTCAAGTCATATCAATAGGATACGTATTGTTTATCCCCATGGAATGTCAGGTCCATGCCAGGTAATTCATCTGGCTGGGTGTGAGATCGACCTATATTAGCATGTAATTTAAAAGAAAAATATTTGACATATTATTTTTTATAAAAAAAAATCAAGAAACAAACTATAACATTATGATTGTAGTCAAATTATTCGAGAAATTAAGGTTCTCATCTATTTAAAAATTTATTACAACGAAAATATGAGGTAATAAAAGTAACATCCTAAGTAATTTGAGTAAAACTACATATAATTCAGACAAAAATACAAATCAAGAATTAAACGAGTCAGGTTGAGAAAAGTATCCCATATCCGCCCGTCTTGCCTACGAGCATGTATTACCCGCCAAAAACCGGCCAAACCCTTAAAGCACATTTTAGATTCAAGACACTAATCGTGACCCCACCTTAAGTTAAAGACACTAATTCATATATAACACCTTTCTCCATCAAGAGCGATATTTTCAACTTAAATAAAAGAAGTCTAGAAACTCTATTACTAGTACTACTCTAATTTGGTAGCTTTAGATTCCAACTTGTCATTCATAGCTTGGTCTCCCCTGGTTGTTTGCTAGCTATGCTTCTTGGTTGGTCATCGGATTGTCTTCTCATCTGCAGGTGGCCGCGGCGATTGTTCGGTGTTTCCTTGGCCTTGGCCCAAAATCACTGTGTCTCGGCTCCCATCCCTCTGCCTCTTAATTAAGCTTTGAGCAATATGATTCACAATCTTGTTCATCACCATGCAATTCCAGTTTTGAGATTCATTGTGTTGGGTCGTCTGATCATCACCATGCCATGCCTGGTAAATATCATCCAACCCAAAATAGGTCAAATGTGTCGAGTAGAACGGATCGGATGAAAGTAGGACTGACATTTCGGTTAGTTTGGTTATAACCGATAACCGAAATGTCGGTTACCGATTAACCGAGACAGGAGATGTGACTACCGCCAACCGCCCGAAGAAAAACTTCGGTTAGCCGGCAACCAACCGGTCGGTTATCGCTTAGTTGCTCGGTTAACCGAAGTAACCGCCGATCCGGTCTCCGTTCCCATCGTCGGTTCAATCACCGTCGATGAAACCCTGCCTATGCTTTGAGGATGAGGACCATGAGGCGTTTGCCGCTTTGAGCTCCGTCCCAAACCCTCACTGGGCCATGAGTAGAGGACCCTCGATCTGAAGCTGAAGCCGCTCACTTCCCTCCCCAAAATCGTCACCGCTGGATCTCCCGCCGGGGCTCGGAGCTCCAGCCCCAGACTTGACGGCGAATCTGGTTCTGAAATTTTTCTGCACAGAGACGCAGTTGTGTCAATGTCACTGTTTTGCGTGCCTCGACCTCCACGACAACTGACTCGATGGCACCGTTTCGCCGATCCCCAACTCCTCCCACCTCAAGATCCTCTACCTCGCAGGGAATGATTCTCCGGCGAAATCCCTCTGTCGATCTCCTCCCTCCACTGACTCCTCCGTTTAGCTTATCGGAAAGCAACCTCGGCGGTTTAATCTCTTCCAAAATTGTAAATCT